GGAAAAAAAGCTGGAAAAACCAGAAAAGGAAAAAGAACCTTTATCAGGCAGAAACAGAATTAGGAACAAATACGTTTGAAGCAAGCCTTTCTAAAACAAAATAAAACAAAAATGTTAAGGATAAGATGACACCTGTGAAGAAACTGTAGTCTATCAGAAACAACATATATAAGGAACTAAAGTTAGGTTGGCTTCATTTCCTAATGGTTAAAGCAGTCAGATTCCACAAGGCTGACCTCATGGTTCCAGTTCCAGACACAGTGGCTTGAGAAACACACCAGGCACATGTGCATATGTGCCCCAAATCTCAACAGGATGGAAAAAAAGGAGAAGAAGGGATTGCAGTGTGACCATTCTCCATGGATTGGGGATGCTTTCTCCCTCTACCTCTCTTCTCTCCCTGGGACGCGAACCATGGTTGACTACATGGAAGTCCAGCAACGTAGCCATTACGCCAACTGCTGGTTCCACTAAACAATTTCTAAAAAAACAAAAAACAAAAAACAAAAACGAATTATTTAATTTTATTTAGTATTATTATTTTAATTTGTTATGGTGCATATGGGGCTTGCATGCTCAGCAGAGAGAGACAGAGAGAAAGAGAGAAGAAAAATGAGAAAGCAACCCACGAGGTCCAGAACTTGAACTGCAGTTGACTACATGGGAGTCCAGCAACATAGCCATTACACCAACTGCTGGTACCAATTTAACTTTCTTTTTTGTTTTTTGTTTTTGAAAGGTTTTTGTTTTTGCTATAGGGCATGTGTGCTTGCCAGAAAGACAGAGAGAGACAGAGATAGAAAGCAAGAAATCACCCCAGGGGGAGATGGCCACGCCACAATCCCCTCTCCTCCATTCGCCTCTCGGGATCTTAGACACACACACACATGTGCTCGGAGTGAGTTTAAGCCACTGGGTCCAGGACCTGAACTGCGGTTGACTACATGGGAGTCCAGCGAGATAGCCATTACACTAACTGCTTGTTCCCCAATTTAACTTTCTTAAGAGAGTATCTTTACCCCATTGAGGAGAAGGCAAGCACTGACAGATAAGGAAAAAAAGCTGGAAAAACCAGAAAAGGAAAAAGAACCTTTATCAGGCAGAAACAGAATTAGGAACAAATACGTTTGAAGCAAGCCTTTCTAAAACAAAATAAAACAAAAATGTTAAGGATAAGATGACACCTGTGAAGAAACTGTAGTCTATCAGAAACAACATATATAAGGAACTAAAGTTAGGTTGGCTTCATTTCCTAATGGTTAAAGCAGTCAGATTCCACAAGGCTGACCTCATGGTTCCAGTTCCAGACACAGTGGCTTGAGAAACACACCAGGCACATGTGCATATGTGCCCCAAATCTCAACAGGATGGAAAAAAAGGAGAAGAAGGGATTGCAGTGTGACCATTCTCCATGGATTGGGGATGCTTTCTCCCTCTACCTCTCTTCTCTCCCTCTCTCTCTCTCTGCAAAGTACACATGCCCTCTGACAAAATATTTTTAAAAAAAGAGAGAGAGACAAATGAAAAAAAGGCAAAGGAAATTTTGTGTTTCTTCTTCAGCAATTTTTTTTAAATCCCTAACTATCAGGAAGTTAGACATTTTGTAGAAAAGGCATTTACTAAGACATTGTACCTTATTAAATAGTTTGTCTATGCTACAGCTGATGGTGAATGTTTCTTGCTTTCTTTAGCGAATTCATGTCTCAGGTGCTTCCTACTCCCCTAACATATATGATGAGCTTCCAGAGATATGAGCAAAACCACATAGAAGCCACCTGAGATGCTCTACAGTCAGGCTGAACATCCTGCTTGCTGCCTTTGACCTTCTGCATCAGCATATCTAGGGCATTCTCTGCCCAGGTCTAGCAGGCAGTGCAGATTCTGTGGCTCCTACTGCTGTCTCCTGCCCAAGATGCTGCATTTCCATATCCCTCCCACGTGACTCTCATAGCAATATCTGTGGACACCACAGCCTCAGAGCATTTTGGTTTTTTTTTGATAAAGGAGGTACAAACAGTAGGGTTCCTTTTTGTTTGGAATTAGGTCATGGTCTTAGTTTCTCTTTTTTTTTCCCTTTCCTTTTAAAATTTGTTTATTGATTACTTCCATGAGAGAAAGAGAGAGAAATAGAGAGGCACCCCCACATGGTCCTAGTGCTGTGATCCACCCCCAGTCTCAGCCAGTCAGGATCACGGGCATACCTACCTGTACCTACTATGCACAGGGAGATCCCAGATATGAACCTGAGACCTTCCCGTGTGGGTCTAGCATCTCAGATGTTATACCCCCACTGTACCATCAACACTGGCCCTGGTTTTGGTTTCTTTACCAGAGAAACCAAAGGATTACAAAGGAATATTACAGGAGCTTTACTTGTATGAGAATGAGAATTATGAGTCTCATTGCTGGTGATAGTAGGGCAATCATGAACATTGCATTATGTGCATTGAACTCTTTTTAATAGGTAGAGAACTCTCAGGAGAACTCACTATTAAATAACCATGATCAACCACAAAATCATCATCAAAATTTGATGTAGGGCCAGCAGGTTGGCATGGTAGCTATGGCACTACATTTCACATGGCCAACTTCATGGTTTGAGTCCCAGACCCCACAACCTGAAAAACATGCCAGGTATATGTGCATGCATGGCCAAAACCATGAGGGAAGAAGAAATTGTGGCATGCACCGTCCCCACTGGGCAGTGATTTCTCATTTTTCTTCTCTCTCTGATGGTCTCTGTCTCTCTCTGGCTAGCACATAATTTATGGCACATAACTTTTTTAAATGATGTAAATAGGTATGTACACCAAAATATGAGAACAGGAAGAGAAAATATAATTATGTAATTCATACAGTGACACAAAGGACAATTATACATTTTAACCCAAGTTTCTCGAGGTTGAACTTTTACTTTTTTTTTTTTTTCAAGGTTTTTGCCATATGACACATGCTCATCAGAGAGAGAAAGAGAAAAATTGCCCCTCAGAGGCAATGGCCAGGGAGCAATTCCTTCTCCTCCATACTCCTCTTGGGATTTCTTTTTCTTTTTTTTTTGAAGAGGTTTTCGCTATAGGGCACGTGCGCTCGCCAGACAGACAGAGAGAGACATAGAGACAGAAAGCGAGAAATCACCCCCCAGGGGGGATGGTCACGCCGCAATCCCTTCTCCTCCATTCTCCTCTCGGGATCTTGGGCACGCACGCACACGCACCCTGCGTGAGTTTTAAGCCACCGGGTCCGGGACGCAAACCACAGTCGACTATGTGGGAGTCCAGCGACATAGCCATTACACTAACTGCTGGTTCCCTCCTCTTGGGATTTTTACACACATGCACAGGCATTTGGCATGATTCTTGGGCCTCCAAATCTGGGACTCAAACCACAGTCACCCACGTGGGAGTCCAGCACCTTAACCACCACACTGTCTGCTGGTCCCAAATTTTAAGTTTTTATAAATGTATAAAATACAAGTTGAAGATGAATTAATGATTCTGATGGCCTGTTCTTTCACAGGAAATGGATCCATTTGATACGATCCATTTGCATCAGGAATGAAACACTTAAAAGAAAGGGAAGAAAAAGTATATAAATCATGGACTCAATCTACAGTACATGAAAGACACACATGGTCCTCAAAATTAAGAAAGAGCATAGCAAAATATTCAGCCCTTTTTAGACTCACTATATCTTTTATGTTTTAATTTAATTTCATTTACTTTTTCCATGAGTGAAAGACAGCCAAAAAGGAGAGACAACATCCCCAAAGGGTCCTGATGCCATGATCCCTCCCCAGCCTTCAGCCAGTCCCAGATCATGGGCATGCACAATCCCAGTGAGCTCAGGGAGTCCTCTGGATGTGAACTTGGAACCTTCTAATGTGGGATTGCCTCATAGAGCCTCATAGAGCCACTGCATCATTGTCTGGTCCCCTCAATACATACTTTAAAAGTTTATTTATCTCGGGACCAGCATTTGGTGTAATGGCTGTGTCACTGGACTCCCACGTAGTCGACTGCAGTTTGAGTCCCGGACCCAGCGGCTTAAACTCACACCGGGCACGTGTGCGTACATGCCCAGAATCCCGAGAGGAGAATGGAGGAGAAGGTATTGCAGTGTGGCCATCCTCCCCTGGGGGGTGATTTCTCGCTTTCTGTCTCTCTGTCTGTCTCTGTTTGTCTGTCGAGCGCATGCGCCCTATAGCAAAAACCTCTCCAAAAAAAAAAAAGAAGTTCATTTATCTCCATCATCATCAAATTCTTTCAGGATGTAAATTTCCTGAACCCTTAAGATTCCTCTATGGTGCCTTAGGATTGAAAGTGTGAGAATCATACATTCCTACCTATCCACCCCAACCTGATATTGACCTCAGTCCAACCCCCTAAGCAGATGTCTTTGCCCATGTATTACACTCTGCTAGAGGGAGGAGGTGTGTGTAGTGGTTGACTCAGGGGAGCTCACAGCACACCTTCTAAATTCAGGGCCTGTCTTCTGATCACTAGTTCTGTGAGCTCAGGCCAGTTGCTTACTTTCCTCATGCTCATATGTCCTTATATGCATTAACAAATAGGAGTTGTTATTGGTAACTTACCTCATAAACAAGTTAGTCATGAGAAGTGAATGATTTAACACACCTAATAAAATTAAGACAGTTCCTAGTACCTGCTGATAAATGTCAGCTAGTACTTATTCCAGTACCTGGGCTTGGTGCAAAGTTTTACTTGAAGGAAAGATCCCACTGTCTTTAAAAACTTCTTGAGAAGACTACCACTTTAAAACATTATTTCGTAATTTACGAACATGGGTTTGTCCTTTTGTCCTTTGGCCAAAGCCAAGTCCCTCCTCCTTTCACCCATTAACCCTGAACTCCAAGTGTTAAGAACTCATTTTCCTCTCTTGGCCAGACCTGCATCTTGGCAGTGCAGTGGGCTAGTGATAAGGATGATGTCATTAGAGTTGCCGAAACTATTTCATTATAAACTTTTGTTTTTCTCTTGCTGTTTCTAAAGGGGAAAACATTTCTTTAATTATCTAAGCTCTCAGAACCCTTTAGAGGTACACCCTTTATAAAAGTGATTATTATCACCCACATTTGGTGAGGTACTTGGGGATAAAAAGTGTTATGTAAATGTTTACACATGGTTACGCTGTGGGCCAAGATTCACAGAGGGACCGTCAACACTGCACAGGAAGAAGCATGAAGCCGGAGAGAGGTGATGACTTTTATGCAAGGTATGAAATTGGCTTTTAATTTTAGCATATAGATAGTTGCACTTCTAAAGAGAGTCATTTACAGCCATTAAGGAAGTATATATGACTACAAAAGAGAAAACAAATCTAAGTGGAGGGTTGCCTGCATATTTGAAGATTGACGTGGTCCTTGGAGAACAGAATAGTAGGGAAGGGATTTAAAACACTGTGCAAGGCATTTGGTGTGACCAGAACTTTCTGACAATGACAGCAGCATGCTTCCAAAAGCTGTCACCACATCTTCTCCTCTGCAGGGGCTCAGGAAAGAACAGAGCTTCTCTTGGTAAGTTCTGCTTACATGCAAGAAACTGGGACCCTTCCTCCTGGCTGATGATTTTAAGTCATAAGGACATTACAAAACGTTGAATCACACAATGTTCTCTTTAAAACTTTGTTCATTTTTTTCTGGAGGGAGTCTCTGGCTGGCGTAAGTGTGTCCTTATCACCCCCAAACATTTTCAACAAAGAGATCTCCTTTTGCTGGTCTGTGTGTGTGGGTACAAGAATTGCTTTCTTCTAGGTGTTCTCTTAGTGAAGACGCTCTCTGTTTAGTGAAACTGGTTTTCCATTTATGGTAATGATCTAATTTTTTCTTTTAAAGTAAGCATAAGTAACATGGAAATTTGATATCAAGAAAAAATAGCAAATAAACTTCATGGGCATGTAGATATGGGAGACTTCAAAATATTTGTGGAAAAATGAAATTAAAGTCCCAGTTGATTTTGATGCCAAAAAGATAGAAATTCACGCATACTTTTTTCGTTATTTACATTTTCTATGAGCTTTTCGAAGACTTCCTTCTACATCAAAAGTCTTGATAACCCGAGAAGCCATGCACTAGAAGTCGCTAGACTAGATATAAGATTTCAGTATCATCTAATTCCAGGATCCTGTGAGGATAGGGGGAGGCAGTTCAGTTACAGAGGTCTTGGCTAAAACCAGGACCCTCTAGGGAAAAAAACAACCCAGGCTTCCAAGGCAGTGCTTATGAAAATAAGAAATCTGTTCACTCTCAAAGAACCCATGTCGGCACAGAGAAATAAGGAGATGAACTACATACAGTACAAGGAAGCCACTCTGCCCTGAATATTTCCAAACATTTGTTTAGGGCACGATTTCAGGTGATTATTGAGAAGATGTTTGGTTGTACATAAAGGACAAAAGGTATACAAGTTACGGGGGCGGGGGGGAGCCCACATTCTTTTCTCTGAATGTTTAGGTTCTACATTTCCCTCTTTAAGCTATTTTAAAACACAAGAAATAAAGAAAGGCAGGGAGGGAGAATAAAAAAGCACTGTAGCAACATCTCTGCCAGAAAACATGCAGTAAATTCCAGCTTGTTAGCAGCCTAGTTCCAAATTATTTTTAAAAAACAAATCCTCACGGTAATGTAGTTACAGCCTCTGAGGAAAGCTGTAAGCCTGATGTCCGTGTCCTAGAACCTAAGCCCCAAGAAAAAAGAAAGAGAGAAACCTAACCAGTGTTCTGACAGGAATATGAAAGCGAAATCTCCAAGGCAGGAGAAATACCCCAAAGGAGGAGAAGACTGCAGCTTGCAGTAATCTGTAAATGATTGCTGGTAAAGTCTGGAGGCTTCAGGCTTGATCTGTGTTTGTTCCAAAAGAAAGCCAAGGAGGACGGTGTTAATAAAGAGAGATTTAACTGAGAGCTGTGCTTGGAATAAAGTGGGCTACAAAAAGGTCAAATTTGATCAGTTGGAGCAGATTACCAGAGCTTTCAAAGGTGGTGTGGAGCACGGAGCTGGGTCTGGGAAGTAATAGAGCACCAGATTGATCTGGGGGGTGGAGAGAGAGAAGCCAGGACAAGTGCTTATCAGCCTGGGAAGGAGAAGAGCTGAGCCTACTCCCTACTCAGGCTCCAGACGCTGCCTTGCAGCCGTCCAGGGCTTCTCAGTCACCCGGGTCTCTGAGCCCCCTCCTCTTGGGATTCGGATTTGCCTGCAGTGTTCTTAGACAATGGTGTCCTTAATCTCTGACTTGGATCCACTGAAGGACTGGAAAGTTTTAAGGTAGGCCTGCTTTGCTTTCTCTTCCTCTTCCTTCCCTCTTTCAGTTCATGGCCAAGTTCCTACCCCCATCTGTCCTCAGTTAAGGATAGCTTGATGTTCGTGGGATGCCTGTTGTGGGTTTTTAATTTTTTTCTGTTGTGGGTTTAAGTGACAGCCAGATCTGGTGATAGGATACTCTGTTTTGATAGAGAAGCAACTTCCAGCACTTGTAAGAAGAGGCATGAAATGTAAATCACTGGAGTTTCATTACGGGGGCAAGGGTGGCTGCCTTGTGAATGAGAGGTTGCATGCAGTCTACGTCAATGATTCCTGACTCACAGAAATGAGTCCTCATATTTAATTATGAGTTTTCATAGGCACTGAAAAGATGAAACAGAAATTAGCAAACTTTCTGAGATTTCAGATAGAAAGCGAACTTTTTCAAGCAACCCTTGTAACTGGTTCATCTTGAAGAGAATTAAAGAAACTTGTCATCTGGGCCAGCAGGTGATGTGGAGGTTAAGATGCCGGATTCCATATGACTGACTGCATGATTCGAGTCCTGGGCTTGGCGGCTCGAAAACCACACTAGGCCTGGGTACATGAAAATCACACTTGACACATGTACGTGTGCACCCAAAATCCCAATGAGAGACTGAAGGAGAAGGGATCGTGCATTGACCATCCCTGGCTGGGGGATGACTTCTCACTTTCCCTTTTTTTTTTCTTTCTCTCTGTCTCTTTCTGGTGAATACATGTACTACACCCTACAGCAAAAAAGAAAAAAAAAAAAAAAAAAGAAAGAAAAAAGAAAAAGAAAGAAAAAATAGGAAAAAGGAAAAGAAAAGAAAAAGAAACTTGTAATCCTATATATGACTTCACCACCCCCACCTCTACTCCCCCCAGGTCTAATTTGGAAAAGCCAGTCATGTAAAAACTCAGCTGACATTAAAATAGAATGAATAGAATTTATGAAATAACGTCTTTCCCAGGACCAGCAGTTAGCATAATGGCTATGTCACTGGACTCCCACGTAGTCGACCATGGTTCATGTCCCCGACCAGGTGGCTTAAAACTCACGCCGGGCGTGTGTGCATGTATGCCCAAGATCCTGAGAGGAGAACGGAGGAGAAGGGATTGCGGCATGGCCATCCCCCGTTGGGGGAGTGATTTCTCACTTTCTGTCTCTCTGTCTCTCTCTGTCTGTCTGACGAGTGCACGCGCCCTGTAGCGAAAACCTCTTTAAAAAAAGAAAAGAAATAAGGTCTTTCCCAAAAAGTTCCTTTAAAAGGTGGACTCTGGGGACCAGCTGTTAGCATAATAGCTATGTTGCTGGACTCCCATGTAGTCGACCACGGTTCGAGTCCCGGACCCGGTGGCTTAAACTCACGCCAGGCGCATGTGCGTGTGTTTCCAAGATCCCGAGAGGAGAATGAAGGAGAAGGGATTGTGGCATGGCCATCCCCCCTGGGGGGTGATTTCTCACTTTCTGTCTCTCTGTTTCTCTCTGTCTTTCTGGTGAGCACATGCGCCCTATAGCAAAAACCTCTCAAACAAACAAACTAACAAAAAGGTGGACTCTGATAACCTCATTTCTTAAAGGCCCAGAAAAATTACAACCGAAGGCCAGCAGGTAGTGTGGAGATTAAGGTGCTGGATTTCACAGGGCTGACTACGATTTGAGTCCAGGACCCAATGACTTGAAAATCACACCGGACACATGTGAATGCCCAAAAATCTCAAGAAGAGACTGACAGAGAGGGGATTGCAGTGACCTTCCTCCTGGAGAGTGATTTCTCACTTTCTCTATCTCTCTCTGTACACACCCTATAACAAAACAAAACAAATTATAATACAACCTAGAGAACTAAAAGTGACATAGTTTATATATCATCTCTACTTGAGTCTCCACTGACACTTTTGGTAGAGTTCACAGTTAATTGGTCACTTTAAATGAACTCTGAATAATATTTCCTAGAGAAAGCACTTTGAGCAGTTTTTCCTTTTTAATATAAAAATGTTAACTTGAAGTTACCTTAAAACATGATTTCATAGGAACTAGACCAAAACCCAAATTAAGAATACGAATGAGTAGAAGACTATAAGAACTGTAAGTCCCTGGGACTTCTTTCCTGACATTTATCTTGTATTAATTAGCTAATTCCTTATTTCCCTTTCATGCGTTCTACTTTAGGTCTTGCCTAATTTTATTATTTTTAAAAGCAGCATTACAGAAAAGAGCAAAGAAAAAAAAAGACTCTTAGTTATTTATTTTTTAAAAGAATTATTTTAACTTTATTTATTGTTATTATTAATTTGACCAGAGAGAGAGAGAGAGGGAGAGTGAGAGAGCAAGCTGCCAGGTCCAAAACTCAAAGCGCCGTCAGCCACATGGGAGTCCAGCGTCCTTAACTACCACACCACCTGCCGGCCCCGACTCCTATTTATTTTTTTAATTATTGCATCATTCTAGAACTCTTCTTATGCACATGTTGTACATCATGTAACACGTGCTATTTTAACACACATTTTTCTAGTAAATGTGGCAAACACATCCCCATGTTTCTGCCTATCTTTCATAAACACAATTTTAATAGCTACTGAACCATAATCTTGAAATATATTATTTACTAAATTATCCTGTTTGTTAAAAATTTAGATTGTTTACAGTTTTTTTTCATTTGTATTAATAGCAATATAAGGAACATCTTTGTGTGGGATTTCTAGATTGACAGGCACAGACATTTTTATGGGTAGGTCAGTGATTTTTTTGTTGTTCGAATGTTTAAACTTTATTTTTAATTGTCAAAGATGAACAGTACTTGTATAAGTATTCCTGTGATATAAAGCTTTTAGTTCTTTTTTTCTTTAATCAGATTGCTAACGTAACTTTTTTAACTGAAATACTTCTTTTTTTAATTTTTATTATTTTTAATATTATTTTATACATTCAGTTGCTATACATCATTTAGCT